GAAAGAGCACCCCTAAAGGCCATTTGTCACATGGAACTGGAAGCATCCTGCCCTCTTTGCCCCTCCAGCACAGGTGGCAAAGCCATAGCTGTAAACCAGCACCCAAAGGCTCTGCTGCCAGCAGCAGGATGCACTCGGCTCTGGCAGGACAGGAGATGAACACAGGTACTTTTCTACCCCCTGCCTATATCTGCTGGATATTATTGTCCTTCAGAGCGCATCTCAGACCCCCTTGCAGCCCACTGCCCCAATCAGAAAGTGGAAAAAGCAGTGCTAATATGTGACAAGAAGGACACAGTGGGAAGCCAGCCTTGTATTTGAGAAAAACCTCTTCCTTCATCTTTCAACGCCCTTCATCTTTGCTATGGGGAGTCCCTAGGGAGCAGCAAGCCAGGCCAGCTGCCCCAAAACCCAGGCACAGACCTGTGCCCACAGCCTGCTGACCCCCCAGTGCTTTGCTGGAAATACAGGTTCCCCCCCTTGCCTTTCCTCACTACGCTTGCAGAAGTTATGTGGACTTTCATACCAGAACACTTCAAATGCCTTTTCTTTCCTTCTGGCATCACTGGATGACAGTGGAAAACTTTTAAGCAACTAACCTATTCAAACCTATTCGAGGTCAAACGAGGGGTGAATGCTTTTCCTAATGTATTGCACAGAGAGCATTTCAGCTTCTGAAGCTTTCTAAAACTTAAGATTCTATAACTATGGGGGTTTCGCTTTTAAAAACTGAAAGTTTAGTAGTGAGATGGTGTTTCTTGATGAGTGGTGTGTTATTTAATTGGCTTTTTTCTTAAAAAATAATAATTAAAAGTGCCCTACTTCAAAGGTTAGTTGCTTATCTCATATAATCCATCAAACTTCTGCAATTTAACACCTTTAACTATGAGAGCTGCAACAGCACACTCTTAACAGACCTTAGTTTTATTCTCTCAGGTAGTGCAAAGTTTTTCAGTGAATCAATATCCAAATAGTAACAACACCTAGAGAAATTGAGTTAGTTTTAAGTAGAAAATTGAATTTTATAAGTAATAATAATTGCTAATCATCAGCATTTTTTTAACCAAGAAGGTGGTTCCATTCAAACAGACTACATGTAAGTTCACATACACATTTTCCGCTCTCCCAAGATACAAAACAACTTGGCCACTTAACAACTGCAAGTCATTGCTTGTTCTTACAATGAACAACAAGCCCTGTGTCTTTACATTTTAGATGAGCATCCTTCATCTGACCTTGTCCAACAGACAATCATCTGGTAACTACTGTCACACCTTTGAATAGATAAAATTGGCAACAGAGCAGAAATGTGATATTTAGAAACCTGATCCGGAGTTTCTCTTTTTAGACCTTCATCTGGATGGCATTCCTACTACAGCCTATAAGTCTGCAGAATCTTCTGTGAGTCAGTGCTGTGCTAACCACAAGGCTGAGAGAGCATCAGCCAGTCAAAAATAAAACTCAAATCATTCTTCATCCTCTTTAGCGAACAACTGCTTTTTCTCAGAATGGATATATGCGAAGAGTAATGTACTAAAGATGTGTCTACCCAGGATAATACACAGTTACACCATCTATCAGTTACAGCACAGCTTTATTTAGTTGTCAATTCAAAAATTGTATTTTTTCACAGATTTTACAGAGTTTAATATAGGCACCTAATAACAGCGTATATACTTAAATAATTAAACAACAGCTACTATTGTACCCCTGCCACTCACCCAAAGTTTGGTATATTTTTGATAGTAGCTTTCTTACCCTGAAATGAAGCATGAAAAAAATTCAATGTGCAATTCTAATTGTTAATTTTTTTTTCCTCTCTTCATACTCTCAACCTTCATATGCATTTGATCTTTAACTCAGCATGCCAGGGCTGTGACATTTCATGCCAGCTTTAGCAAGACATTACAAATCATAGCTGTTAGCTCAGTCACGAAGTATCCAGGATACCTCCTTCACTGAGTTATCTCGTGCGGGACACAGAACAAGGAAATGCCATTTGGCTGGCAGGGACTGGGGGCTTATGCACAACCTTAAAAAATGGATTTTTGTCAGATAAGATTACTAACAGATTATTCTCTGCCTCAGTATTTTCAATAGGAAGAGACTACAGCCAATAAAAACAGGGTTACACTGTGTGTTATATAAAGAAATTGTATTAGATAAAGAAAAAGAGGGTTATACTGCATGTTATATAAATTATATAGGCAGTACCATCTTGCATATCCTATATATTAATTACATTCTCATTTTCCATATTAAGCCTACACCTTGAGAAGAACTCAAAAATAAGTTGACTGATAGATGACATACTCAGAAGCTATCAAAAGTGCTTTTAAAATCAGTAGATCTCACATAACTTTACAAAGGAGATCATAATCACTGTCTCTGTTTAAGAGGAGGGAAACGGGAATTCTACTTCTGAGCAAGCTGTAACACCCACTGCCATATTTCCCTATGTATGTAGGTGTCATTATATCAAGAAATCACCAACACATTTTCTAAGTACCTTACTTTATTCTCCCTGGGGAAAATGTGGGAGCCTTGAGTAGCTGCAGCTACAGGAGGAGTAACCAAGTCCTCCAAGTTCTCGTGTGCTCTTGGTACTCTATCAGGCATGCAACTTTGCATCCACAAATATGTTCAAAGTACTATAAAATAAGCATTCAGTGTTTTATTGTTTGATTGTTGGGGTTTCTTTTAAATCCAGAACACACAAGAGTTACAGTGTAAATTCTTCCATACAGCTGAAAAGTATTTGGAAGGCAGGTCACTGACACAGCAAGCACCGCACATAATAGGGGTGTGAAATTCAAGCACAGCTTAGGGGAACGGCAAGCAAACAATTGTTGCCATAGGGTTGGGAGGAGGTGGTTTGTAGGGAGTGTTAAGTTTGTTCATTTCAAGTCTTCAGGCTGTAGGTGAGATTGCAAACAATTTGTTTCAACAGATAACACGTACTTTAAAACTCTGAACAGTCTGCTGCTGAGGATTTCACAAGCTGACCCTTTTCTCTAACTTCCTAAAGCGCACCAGATTTTTTCTTGTAATAAGGTCACCTTTTTCCAGCGTAATAAAAGGTCACTAAATTTCACCACAGTGGCTTATTCTTCAGCACTCCTTCATGAAAGATTAAATCGAACAGGTTTAAATCAAATACTTCTGTGCCAGTTTAATGCAGCACAGCCTCACAGTATACTTTACTGTTTAGCATGAGGAGGCAAGGCCCGTGGAACGACAGCCCAGACACACAGAGCAGCTGAGCTCTTGTTACTGGGAGAGACAGAGGGAGCTGCATTTGGTGCTACTGGACCAGGAAGGTCTCCCTTTTCCCATATTCCCCTTATGAAGCAAAATTCCTTCCCTTGTGACAGAAACCCCAACCCCTATGGGCTCCTGACAGACACACCCGCTGAGCACTCAACTTCACCCTCCAAAGCAAACAAAATACTCAGAAGTGCAAATTATGAGTACACAAAACAGAAGTCCATATAGCTTCTGTTGTTTGCCATTCCCTTCTCATTTGATCAAGAAACAGCCCTTCTACAGCTAGGCTTTAATATCCACGTTCCCGGTGCCTGATTAGCTACTTTGAATACTTTAAAGCCCTACCATGTGCTCTCGCAGGAGCACACCACCACCAAATGCTTTAACAGACCCACATTGTCCTTTGGTCAGTGCTCATTTAGTTATCATACAGCCTGCACTTAGCACTTTCACCCTCACAGGGAACGTAACATTCCCTGCCACGTTTTCCAATAGTCACAGTGGAGTCTTAGCCTAAATGACCAACACCATGCACAAATACTTTTTCCAACTACTTTTCCTCTATAGAAAAAAATTACAGAAGATACTCGT